AAAAAAAAAAAAGCAATGGCCCTTTCTCTCTGGAATTTCAGTGACTACTATGTACATGACAGTCTTATTTTTCTGAAGATTTATTACTTTAATTATGTATATGTGTATATGTGTGGTGTTAGGGTATGTGCACATGTGCTGGTGTCCACAGAAGCCAGAGGCATCAGGGTCCCCTGGAGCTAGAGTTATAGGCAACTGTGAGCTGCCCGATGTGGGTGCTGGGAACCAAACTCAGATCCTTTGGAAGAACAGTGCACATTCTTAACTGCTGAGCCATGTCTCTAGTACCCATTCGACTGTCTTTAAAAGTACTTTTTTTCTGGAGTCGGCAAGATGGTTCAACAAGTGAAGATACTTGCCACCAAGACTGTCGACCTGAGTTTGACTCCTGAAATGGACATCATGGAAGGAAAGAACCAATTTCTGATTCACACACACTAACTGTTCACCAACTTGTATTCAAAGTTAAAACCAGAATGACTTCCAATGCTTCTAGTAAATGGATAAAGAATTTTTTACCTCCTGCTTTCCATCCAAACTGGTAAGGAGCACTGGTCGACCTATGCAAATGTTTGCAGACTTCATAGTATTAAGTCCAAGATGAACAAGGGAATTCTGGAATGTCTTGGGAACTTTGCCATCTACTATAAAAGGAGAGAGAATTTATTTTATACTATTTTACAACAGAAATTCAGACACTTTTAGGGTAAATGAAAATCCTATACTCATGTAACCGTACCAACGAATTTATCATATCCTGAAGAAATCTTTTTTAAACGAACATAAAACCAAACCTTTTGGAATGTTTACGGACAATGTGTGAGTATAACCTACAAAGTTTAAAGTAAAGACAAGAGATCTCTTGGTTTATTAAGAACATACTGTGACTGGGGTTTATTAGCTCAGAGTAAAGCTAGCATACTTCCCTAGCATGGCCAAGGCCTTGGGTTCTGTCCTCAGCATTGTCAAAAACAAACACAATTACAAAATCTAACTACACTTCCAATAGTCTCTGCACTTTCTGCTGAAAGATTCTGAGTCAGCTACTAGGTTTCAAAGACAACTGGAACATTTATCTGGCTTTAGAGGCTTGTTTCCACTTCAGAACCACATAATCCAGGATTTCAAAACCTTCCCTAAAAAACCTCCCTGTTAATGGAGATCAGGTACAAATTTTCATCCCAGTCCTTGTTTCTCAATATACCACCATTATACAGTTCTCTGCTTATAACATCCAAAGCTCCACAGGCTGTCCACAGAATTCTACCAGTCCTCATTTCTCCACATTTAGTGTGTGTGCATGCATGTTTAGAGAATCCATTCTTTCCTTTATACCATGCAAGTTCCAAGGATGAGATTCATACTCACAGCAGTAGGCACTTAGAGCAGCTAGTCACATTACCTTCACATCAAAAGGAAGCAATGAATGCATACAAGAGCTTACTGTTCTCTACTCTGACTGTGGATGTAATGTGGCTAGTTCTCTCAAGGGCCTGCCACTGTGACTTCCTACAACAATGAACTAGAACCTGAAACTGTGAGCCATAATAAATCGCTTTCTCGGGGTATTTTCTCACAGCAATGGAAAGGAAACTGAGACAGCCCCCCATGCATCATGGGTATGCATCACTACACTGTAACTCTGGGTTATGTGCCTTACTCAATCAGGAAGAAGCTTGATACCTTTTGGCTACTCTGGACCAGTGAGCTCTAAGGAGACACCTGTCTCTAGCTCCCAATTACCGAGTTACAAGACACATCCAACCACACTGGGCATATAAAATCGGTGCTGGGGATTCAAACTCAGGTCCTCATGCCTGCAAAGCAAATGCTCTTACCCACTGAACAATCTTACCTGCCTCCATACCCAGCTTTTTACATGGGTGCTTGATATCTGAACCCTGAACCTTATGTCTGTGCCACAAGACCTTCATCCAAAGTCATTTCACCAGCCCATAAAGTCAATTTCAAACAACCATCCACCCTTGCTCCATTGCTTCATGGAGTTTATAATCTAGGACAAGTTAGCCAACAAGTACTGAATAACTGTATAGTTACAAACTAAGACTATACAACAACAAAATGATTGAGACCTAGCAACACCTATTCTGTGTAATCTAACCTAATTTGGAAAAATTACAGAATGCTACTCAAAGAAAGTGCTGTTAAAATTCAGGTGTGGAGGAAGAGAAAGAAATAACTAAATGTGAAGAAGAGATATTATTTTTCTGAACAGAAAAAGCATGCACAGATGTTGTGGATAGATAGGAGTATGATGCATCCTTCAGAGACTTTTTAAGAGTGATGAGAGACAAAAAGAGTTGCTTAAGAAAGGCAAAAACCATGCAGGGCAGGCAGTGTACTGCATCAAGATACCAGTCATAACCCTGAAAGCAATGGAAGGAAGCCTATGGGAAAGAACAGTAGTATCACCATAGGATTTTCATTTTAAAAGATCATTCTGACCATAAAGTAGAAAAGAGTAAGAGAACAAAATTGCAAGCAGGGAAATCAAACAAAGGCCATTGTAGCAGTTCCGGTGAGAGGTGATGGGGTCTGCATTTGAAACGGAAACAGTGGAAATGCTGTAAGAAGGAAGACAGAAACTATCTGGATACAAGATTCGGTAATGGTACAGATATAGATGTGACAATGAACCATTATGCCTAACCCCTAGATTTCTAATTTGTTTGTTGTTGTTTGAGACAGGAGCTTCCCTGTGTGGCCCTGGCTATCCTGGAACTCACTCTGTAGCCCAGGCTGGCCGCAAACACACAGATTCTCCTGTCTCTGCCTCCTGAGTGCTGGAATTAGAGGCATGCGCCACCACCCAGCAGTTTCTGAATTTCTTAAGAACTAAAGTTTGTATTACTGAAAGAAGTAGACTCAGGAAGTTGATTCTACAGTGACTTTGAAAAATTAAAGGGAAGAGGTAATGAACAATACTATTCAAGATATAGTCTACAAACTACTTGTTACAAGTTCACAATAAGGTTAAGTACCAAAAAAGAAAAAAAAAAAAATCTTAGAAACTTTTACTGCAAGGAGATAAAATTTTGTTGTCTATGAACCCAGTATTTTGGTTTTTAAATTTATTTTTCTAATTGCACTAACTATTTTACAAAACTGTCGATATGTGACCCCTTGGCCTTTTTTGTTTGTTTGCTTGTTTGTTTGTTTGAGACAGGGTTTCTCTGTGTGGCTTTGGAGCCTGTCCTGGAACTCACTCTGTAGACCAGGCTGGCCTCCAACTCAGAGATCTGCCTGCCTCTGCCTCCAGAGTGCTGGGATTAAAAGCATGCATCACCACACCGGCCCGCTTGGCCACAGGAAGTGTTTGAGAAATTCTGGTATAACACACTTAATCAAGACTTAGAAACAGTATGTTTTACAAAAAATAATCAAAATTGAAGATGATATAAATGAGAAACTTAGCTTTGTATATTCTTGCCATAAATTATATTTAGGGGAAAAAAGAGGTTATCAGACGAAGAATTAAGAAACTTCAATATTTCAGAATCATATGGAAGAGGGTAAACCTGCAAAGAAAATGGTTACCAATGCACGTGGAGAAAAAATCATCAAAGTCTAGTGATAAAGTAAGTAGTGACATGCTTAAGAAAAGATAACAAATGCCAAAGGCTATGGGCATCAAAAGGCAAGTACTGAAAACCATCGACTGGATTTGCCAATAGAGATGAGCTGTGACCACTACAAAGCAGTTCCCAAGAGACGATGGCATGCAAGTCAAATAGGACTGGGGTGTGTGACTGTCAAATCACACACTCCATTTAATGAGTAGGCAATGGAAAGGTGTAGAGAGGGTGGTGGCAGGAAGAAATGGTGAAACTTTTGCAGTGTTTTGAGATAGAAGAAAAATGAATACATGTAAATGGCAGTAGGAAGGATCTACTTGAAAAGAGGTTGAATCTGCAGAACAGAACAGGCTGTATTTTGATTTCTAGGTCAGAATAAAAAACGCTAACGCTAAAATTGTCTTTAAAGTCTTATTGGACATAAAAAACCAGTAGGTCAAAACAATTACACATCAAGCATGCTAAAAGACTTACCAAGTAAATGACTTTTCAGAGGTTAAGTCTGTCACCCAAGCCAATAAAACTCATCTAAGACAACGGCTCTGGAATCGAATAGATCTGAACTCAAACATGGATTCTGCCACCTGGTCGCTGTGTAACTCAGATGGCACTCCGTTAGCTTTCTCTACTCGGTAAAACGGGCATCATTACGTACCCGCCCATCACCACTTCTACGAAAACTAGACGAGCTATACATGTGACAAGGCTAACTGACTATTAGCACTAGTGTGCAATTAACCACTAGCCGTAACTACATCTCTGGACCTCTGTGGTCAATGAAAACGCCTTTCCTTCCTAAAGCCACAACGCTGTCTGTCTGGCAGCACGGATTCACCGTCAAAAATCGATATTTAGCGTTTTAGCGCAAGCTAGGCCTGCTGGGCACCGCTAAAGAGTAAATCTTCAAAGAGCCAAGGCCATCTCCAGTGCGGCCATAACTCCGGTGGTCGTCTTGCTTGGCCCAGGGACTCAATGCCCAACACTGCCAGGGAATGTGAAGAAAGAATAAACAGTAAAGGGAAACCTCGGAGCCTTCTGCAGGGGTCGGAGCCGCCGGCGCGCCTGGGTCCCGGGGCTGCCGTGTCACGCCCACCTCCACTCGCCGCACCCCCCTCGGGCGCCCCAGCCTCGGCGCTGCCCGCGCGTGCCTCACCTTTCTCAAGGAAGTTGGTGACCACCAGCATCCCCGGCGCCGCCACGGCCGGCCGGGCGAGAGGGGCCGGAGTCCCCGAGCGAGACGCAGCAGCAGACAGCGAGGGCGAGGTGCCCTCCGCGCCCTCTTTCTGCCGCTTTCTGTTCTTCTTGGAAGACATGACTGCAGGCTATCGGAAGAAGGCAGACCCAAAGCCGGCTCAACGTGCGCGGCTCGGGGAGAAAACTTCCGGGTCACAGGTCAGCGGCGCGGGGCGCGCGCCGTAATGCTCCACGTAGAGCGCAGCCCGAGAGCCCGGGTCGGTTAGCGAGGGGCTCTCAGGCCGCTTTCGTTCAAGGAGTCTGGGCGTGGCCTGGGAACCTCCGTTTACGTTATGAACTCCTGAAAAGTGAACTCCGGTTGCTCCGCCGCTCTGCCTAGAGCCGAAGCAAGTGTCGGTTCACTTACAGCAGAAAAAACCAATCCAAAGTTTCTCCCCTCCGGCCAGAGCCACCGAAGACAGTCCACGGGCGACTCCAACGAGCTCCTGGCCAAACGGGAGGCCCACCTCAACCTCAGCGGCTGGCGAGACTTTCCGAGAGTTTACGGTCAGCCCTCCTCCGGGCGAGAAGGGGCGGGGCGAGCGCCGGAAGACGCCCTGAGAGTGTACGCGGCGAGGCGGGGCGGGGCGAGCGCCGGAAGACGCCGGAAGATTGTTCGCGGCGTGACGGGGCGGGGCGATCGCCGGAAGGAGAAGCGAGGCTGTGTGGGACGGCAAGGGCGGGGAGGGAAGGGGCGGGACGTGCTCCCGAAGCTGAGACGCGGCGGTGCAAGGGTAGGTGCTGCAATGAGGTGGCTGAAGAGTGCCGGCTGTTGGCCGTCGGCGCTGCTCCTTGCAGGCAGAGTCGGGCTGCGCGCAGGGCCGCGCACAGCCTCGGGCAGCCCGCGAGACGCCGGCGAGCTGCAAGGCGAGCTGGACAGATTTGGGGGCGTCTCGGTGCATCTGGCGCGGCACCGCGCGCTGCACGGGCTGGACGCTGCGGCCTTCCGGAGGCTCTTGCAGGGCAAGTGCGGGTCTCGGGCCCCGGAAACCAGGGCGGAGCGTGCGAGGTGAAAACTGAAAGGACACCCAGCGGCCCTCGAGCTTTGACCTGGAAGTTCCCTCAACCATGTCTGGGTCTAAAACCTGGATACTCGCCCTTGCGATTGCCCCGGGTTCGCAGCGCCTTGCACGGGGTGGGCCACACGTTGAACTCTTAGGAAACGCTGATAACCTGTTTGCTGCCTTGCAGCCTTAGTTTTGCTGGCACTTAGTTTCTGCCACAGTCTTTGCTAGGCAAAACTCTCTCTTAATGGGGGCAGATAAGAGCTGGCAGGTCAAGAACCAGTGCTTGTTTCTACCCACAGAGCTTTGTAGTTTTCAATAGGAACACATCACTGGCTTTGACATTGAGCCTAAATATCTGAAAGGAAGCTTGAGTGAAGGAGCCCTAACTTTAGGATAAGTGTCTGGTTTATTAGAGCGGTCTGCTTTCCAAACTGAAGACATAGCATGGAAATTTACCTATGGAAAGGTTCTTTCACATAGCCAGGGAACCACAAATGATCTTTATCCTGTGAGCAACATGGCGAGTAAGCGTCTCTAATGCCGTTTAATCTTCATCTTCAAACCAACCTACTGCACATCTCTCCTGTTTGTAAGTGCTGAAAAGCCCCGCCTAGGCTCCATCAATATTGCCAGTAGGAGAATCGAATCCATTCCTCCTCTTGTTAGGTGTACACATTTGGATGGGTACGGGTGTTTGGCGTACCAGTGACCAAAGATAATCTAAGCACCACTCCAGAAAGTGTGCTTCATTTGGAAACGTGTCCAGGGTTCAAGTCCCAGATTGTGCCACAAGCTTTGCCAGGCGTTAATCGAATGACCACTGAATAGGTGAGTAACGCTAGCCAGCTCTAGTTACTGGATAAGTATGTTCAAAGACACCCTAAATGAAATCCCTCAGCTATGAAGTACAATTGTTTACATATCTTTAATTAAACATTTCACTGTAATTTTCGTTTTGAGAATCTAACAAATATAAATTCATTTCATTTTCATAACCTGAAGGTACCCACAGAGGCAGTGGGTACCTCCCCCTGGCTGTGGGTCTGTACTTTCTTCACACTGCTCTAGGAGCTGCTTCTGGCTCTGTGGTGGTGGAATCAAACAGAACTAATGGACAGTGCCTGTAAAGGGGCACTAGTCAGAGAAGCAAGCCTGACAGGACGTCAGTGTCCTCGAGATTAGACATCGTAATGTGTTAGTAATGACTGCTGAGGAGCGTTTGCACGTGTGGGCCACTATTCCTTTACTGCTGTTTTGTTACTGACAGCCCAAATGTCAGGATTATAGTGTACCTAGCCCTCCGTAGACTACTTCTTGGCAGAGGGGATTTGAGGCAGGTGAATGTTACAGATAGCTCAAGCCGATTCACACTCATGGTCCTCCGACCTCTGCTTCCAGAGCACTAGGATTGCAGAATAATTACCATGCCTGGCATCACATTTGCAATGGTGGTGAAATGGCCCTGCTTCTAGGGAGAGGATTACAAATTCATGACATTTTAACTAGAAGTAGAAAACTAGTTAGTAGGTTAGGCGATGTGTGATACATTCTAGTGAGTCACACAGACAGCATGTGTTACTACGTTCACATAATAGTAGCACCTGCACTACTATGGTTAAGAAACCCTTAGTTGAAGAGGTCATATAGGACCTGAGCTTCCAGGAACTGGTACAAGATGTGTAGATGGGGGAAGGGACCGTGTTTCTTAGAGGGGGAAAAAGAGGAAGAAACTCTTGATAGAGTTGGGTCTAAGATTTCAAATTCTGTTGTGAGGAATGAACATGAACAGGCCTGTGGATGAGGCTAGTATGGGCACTGGATTCAGTTTTGAGATGGTTTGAAGTAACAGCTGGAGGGAAAAGTTAAGAGTTCAGTGAGGTCAGAACTGGACAACCTCATGCTTTAGCTGAAGCGGTGGAATGGTCCAAGGTAAAGAGTGGAAAGGGAAAATCAAATACCATTGTTTTAGAAAGCAGCATTTCATTCGATTGGAAGGATTGCCTGGGAAGGAGCGCAGGACACCTACTGCATGATAGAAATGTTCTGGAGTCTTAATGGAGACATTGCTTAGGGGTGTCTACATACGCTTCAACTGCTCACTTAGGATTTGTGCATCTTCCTTTATGTCATTATACCTCAATTAAGAATGATTCAGTTAGGGAAAGTGAGGTAAGAAAAATCTGACCCTATAGCCACAGTGCATGCTGGACCAACAACTTAGAACTGTGCTAAGCAAATTGACCTCCAGAGATGGGGAGCCCATGGTCCTTAGCAGGTAGGAGCTTACATAAGCAAGGCCAAGGAAGAGAAGAGAAAGTCAGGTGACCAGGAAATGGATGAAGACATCCTTGGGCACCAGGGGAGAGAGGGTGGTTTGCAGGGTGGGGGGTGACCAGTGGTTGAGAGGTTTTGTTGAAGTCTCAGCTGTAACAAGGCATTTCCCCACCCACAAATTAAAGCTTACCTGTCTTTCACGGTGTGAACTCTTGGATAATGTTAAGCATTTGAAACATCTAAGGTTCAAATAAGTGAGCACCCCCTCCCATCCTACAGAAAAATAAAATGTAAAGATTTCTAAAATAAAAAACCAATCTTTATTTTCAGAATGGTGTTTGTAATAAATTTGTAAATACTATGAATGTCTAGAGTAGAATTTGGCTGGGTAGTGTGTAAGATAATGAGGGAAGCTGCTACTATTGAGAAATCTACTTTCATTGAAGGAATTTAATAATAGACTTTTTAATATGTAATGTATTATAAAAGGCATAATATAAGCTGTAGTCATTATGTTAATGACAAAATCACAAGAAAAAAGAGAAACTAAAAATTTCTACAGGCTAGTAATAGAGAATTCTGGTGTATTCTTTAACCACTTTGCAATGTGTAAACCAAAAATAACATCAGAACTCTCTCAGGAAGAGTTAAAACAACGACAGAAAGACCCACCCTTCACCATTATGATAGTTGAACGTTAAAATTGAGGGCATAGTGCCGGGTGGTGGTGGTGCACGCCTTTAATCCCAGCACTCGGGAGGCAGAG